AAAAAAAAAAAAAAAAATTCCATTGGGATGAACTTCTCTCCTTCTCTAACTGCTTAATTCTTCAGGGAGTGTAAATCCTACCTCCAGATCAAATTCCTAAATCTGTGGGCTCTGAGATCAATTGACAGCATACAGCATATAGTTCCTATGATCCACAGAAAAAGCCAGGAGTGTAACTTTGAACTCAGGATCCCCATAGCAGATAGGAGCAATATAAGGATGGTACCCAAACGCAAATAGGACATTATTATTGGACAAAGCTAGAATGGCATAGCTTCCTTGTGACACCCTTTAAGACTACATTAATTGAACTACCTACCCTTGAGCTGCAGTGTAAGAAATGGCTTTATGAAACCACAGATGTGGTACTGATTTAGTTTTAAATTTTCATCCACAGCATATAGAAGGACATGGGAAGAAACTGCCTTCAGAAAATACAAGAGTTGGGGCTGGGAAGGTGGCTCAGTGGTAGAGCGCTTGCCTTGCATGCATGAGGCCTTGGGTACGATTCCTCTGCACCACATAAGCAAAAAGAAAAAAGCTGGAAGTGGCGCTGTGGCTCAAGTGGTAGAGTGCTAGCCTTGAGCTGAAGAGCTGAAGGACAGCGCCAAGGCCCAGAATTCAGGCCCCACAACCGGACCAAAAAAAAAAGAAAATACAAGAAGACTTCTCTCCCATGTAACTGACCTCTCTGATTATTTCTTTGCTTTGGCTGCTAGAAAATACTTACCTCTAGAAGGCACACACTTTTTTCCCCCACTAACCTTAGTCCTGGCTTCAACTCACTTTATCTTGGCTTTCTCATCTATTCAGATTTGATTTTGATATGCCCTGTTGGACTGTACATTTATGTATTCAGGATGTGAGCCACCAGAAATCCTGAAAAGAGGTGAGTTTAAACAAATAAATAACCAAAATACAGGTTACCAAACCAACAAATGAATGTTACATTTTTCTGACATTCATTACTTGGCTAAAAACCAATTGCGCTTGATAGGTGACATTTTAATAACAAGATAACAGAAACGTGCAACCTGCTTCCACATCATTTACATTACTTCATACTAATTCAGTCTTAAGATGTTTCTAACCACACTCTTTTAGGATCCTCAGTCATTTATCTCAACAGTTAAATTATTTAATTCATTTAAAGACAGAAAAAGGGGACTAAAGAATGGGTACTGACTCCTATCTACTCTGAGGAACTGATTGATACCTTGGACATTTGGCTTAATACAAATTTAATCCAAAGAAAAGGTCAAAGGTTATGGGATTGAATTAATTTCCAAAAGAAATACCCCCTCACATACCTACATACCTATGTGCTCACTCACACATACACCGAGTACACTCCTGATGGTGAAACAGTAATAATAGGAGAAAGGCCCCTTGGGGCCATGGTGTCTAGGAACAAGAAGCCTGCAGATTTGGAGAGCCTGGAGCGACTTAAGACACAGAAAGGCATTTAAATATATTTGTCTGCTTACAATTTCCATTGCAAATGTGATTACTTTGCTTGAATAAATAGGAATATGATGTGTTGGCCATGTTTTCCTCTTGAGGGTTATCACAGAGTTTTGATTAAGGACAAATGTTTGAAATGTTGGGTATATTTAAGTTCACTGCACTTGAAATGAGCTAAGAAGTTGCACAGTCTTGATTAAAGGGCTGCCTTCGTGAACTTAAAATTAAAAGCAATAAATTCCAATGATTCAAGTGATTGGGCCTAAAAATGGTATTCTGCCAGCAAAGTTGAAATAAAGTCCAAAGACACTGAAATGGTGTCCAGGTTTCAAGACATGGTGAAAGAGGAAAGGTCAAGCCGTCAGAGTTCCCTTTCCACCGGGGTAGTGAATGATTCACATTACACAGAATTCCTTTTAAGTACAACTTCATAGGAGTGACAAGCTCCATCTGTTTTGTCATTTCCAAAAAGAAGCCCCTCAAACGCTCCGAGGCCAGTTGGTAAGTGTTATCAGATGGGATGGGGGGGGAGGGGAGGGCGGAGAGGCAGGGGAGGAGGAGGAAGGGAAGGGTCCCAGGACCAGCCGCGCGCACGTGCGCAGGCCGAGTCACTCGGGCAGTTTCCAAAATCGAAGTCAAGGTGACTTCCTCACTCGCGGGAGGGCGGAGCTACTGAATCCGTAATAGGATCAGGCTTGGGCCCGGTCGGTGCCCCTGTGGAAGGGGATGCCCCGGTCAACCACAAGCCGGCTCAGAAGCTGGAGAGCCCCGGGCTAGCCAGGGGGACCCCTGCTGGGCCCGAACCCATCCCGGACCGTGCGTCACCGGGGCCCGATCGCGCCCGCGGAGCCGGGTCCACCTCGCCTGGGGCCACTCGGGAGCGAGCTCCCTTCCCCCGCCAAGTGGGAGTGTCCAACCGGCAAAGTTTCCGCTGCAAGATGGGGCCTCGGCCTCCGTATGGCTGTGTGCGCGGCCGAAGCAGGGCAGTCCCCCCGCCCCCCAACACACACACCGCGTCCTCCCGCAGCTGCGAGGTGGAACAGCTCCCCGGGACGCCCGGGACCCCAGTTCTGCTACGCCAGCGCCGGGTCTCCCGGGCCCTGCCTCCCGGATGCTCTCCCCCCCGCCCCGCCCCGGGCTCGGGCCGGCGCGTACCTTGGCGGCCGCCATGCTTCGGCCGGGATGCTGGCGCGGGGGGTGGGGGCCGCTCTCCCGGCCCGCTCAGACCTCTCGGCACTCAGGTCCCAACAACCACAAGGTTCGGTTTGTTTTCCCAGGTAAGACCCGGCGGGGGAGCCAATCCGATCGCGCCTGGAGGAAGGCCGGCCAGGCCCGCACCCCAGCCCGGGCGCCCGGCTGGGGTATCGGCGCGATCCGGGGCTCGCCCCG